ATGTGCGTGGAGGCTGTAACTCAATGTTCCCAAGAGTGGAGTGTTTTCCTCAGGTATTATTTTTTTAAAGATCCACTTATGGGGCTGGAGAGATGACTCAGCGGTTAAGAGCATTGCCTGCTCTTCCAAAGGTCCTGAGTTCAATTCCCAGCAACCACATGGTGGCTCACAACCATCTGTAATGAGGTCTGGTGCCCTCTTCTGGCCTTCAGGCATACACACAGAAAGAATATTGTATACATAATAAAGTAAATATTTTTTTAAAAAAAAAGATCCACTTATGTATTTATGTTTGTCAATGGGTGCTTGGTCTGCATACATTTCTACACACCAGAAGAGGCCATTGGATCTCATTATAGATGGTTGCAAGCTGCCATGTGGTGGCTGGGAATTGAACTCAGAACCGCTGGAAGGGCAGTCAGCACTCTTATTCCCTGAGTAGTCTCTGCAGGCCTTCTACCTTTTCAGACGAGGTCTTTCACTGAGCCGGTAGCTCACCAGTTTGGTTAGGCTGGTTGGCCAGTTAGTCCAGGGATCTTCTGCCTTACCCTCCCCAGCCCTGGAGTTACAGACAAGCACAACCAGCTACAGCCCTGATTACAGCCAGTTTTTATCTGAACTCCAGGCCTCGTGTTTGTATGGGAAGAACAACTATCTCCCCAATCCCATATTATTTTAAATTACACTCAAAGGGGGCTAAACTCTCCACCAGATGAAAGGAACAGAGGTTGGGAGGTGAATCCTGGGGAAAAGGGTGGAGCCTTTTTTTTTTTACACAATGTGTGTGTGTGTGTTTGTGTGTGTGTTTTTTTTTTTTAAAAAACCATATTAAGATACCTGAGGAAATGAGTCAAGAAAAAAAAGATTGAGCTAGGCTCTTGGTTTTTGGAGACTCTAGACCGTGGTCAAGAAGATCCATTGCTTTGGTCACTGGTGGAGTGGCAGTGGAAGATGCCACAGAGCAAAAATGGTCATCTTATGACCATAAAGGGAGAGAGAGGCCAGGGTTCCATAGGTCCCTATAGAAGCACTCCCTATAGGAGTGACATAAGGACCTCCCACTAGGCCGCAGCTCCTAAAGATTTCAGTGTTTCCCACAATGCCACTCTGGGGGAACGAGCCTTAAGCACAATGGAACTTGGGGAGGACATTCAACACACACATGCACATGCATGCCTGTGTGTGTGCCTGCATGTGCCCAAGCATGTGCACAGAGCCACTGAGTCCACAAGAGGGCATTGAATCCCCCAGAACTGGAGTGAAAGGTGATTGTGAGCCTGATATGATCACTGGGCACCAAACTCAGGGCCTCTACAAGTGCACGCTCTCCAGTCCCTGTCGGCACTGTCTGGAAATGTCTAAATGTCAGGCTGTATTGGGTGGAATCCAGGGCGAGGCTTTCATGTAAGACCACACCGATCGCTTTAAAAGCTGCGCGTGCGCTAACGTTGTCCATTCTTTGACATTTGGTTCTTTCACGGCCTGGGTGGAGGATATACTCAGAGTCATCCCGCGCTGGAGCAGATGAAGCAAGACCTGCCAAACCCGTAGGACACAAGTGCACGCCCAGATGACATCCCCTTCTGAGAAATCATCTAACCACTTCTCACTCCCTGAGCACGTTCATCCCTTCCCAGGCCTTTCTTCCCTTCAGACCTGGGTGCCTACAGGGGTCTCTCTCAGGGCTGTGTCTTAGGCCCCTCGCAAGCTACCCATACTGGAGGCTCAAAGATGTGGTTTAACTCTTTCAGCAATTCTGGGTCCTATCCAGACTCCACAGGCTCCTCCACCTCGAGTATAGCCTCCATCAGTCTAGAAAATTCTCCCTCCTAACTCCAGCGTGCCTCCTGAAACCCAGGTCCAGCTCCCTTTTTTTTTTTTTTTTTCTGCACATGTTCTCAATCTCTCGTTTTCAACTTGGAAGGCCTTACCTACTCCCACCCGCTCCCACCCCTGTGAGCCCCTGCAGCCCTATGTTGTCTCAATTTGTGTACTAAACCAAAAGCCTCTCAATGTTAGCACCCGAGGGAGAGGCGGTCTGGCATTTCCAGTGCCCATGTCCCTCTTGTGCATGTGCTTGGCTTAGTCCTAAAGATTTTACATATTCTCAGCTATAGTAATCTCCGGGTAATAATGCAGTGATATGTAACAGGTCAATATAAAGAAAAAGGGTTTGATCCCAGGGTGAGGGCCACATCTGGGGATGCTGGCCGCCTTCTAGCAGTTTCCTGGAATGGTTCCAGGCGTCATTGGGGAAAGAGACAGACAACACACATGTCTGTCTCTCCTGGCTTCTCTCCTTTTATGAAGTCTCCGGGATCCAATTGTGGGACTCTCCTCTGATGACTTTATCAAACCCTCGTCACCTCTCAAAGGCCACACTTTGTCTGCAGCCGCCGGGCATTTAGAAGGAGACGCGTGTACTTATGAGCTCAGGGAGTCTGTAATCTGTGAGGCAATGGGGGGGATAAGCAGATGACGTGGTGGGAGGCAGTGATAAAGGAAGAAATGTGACAAGGACATCATTTCAGATGAGGTGGTCAGGCAAGGGCTGATCTAAGGAGGAGATACCCGGACACAAACCTGAGTGAAGTGAGTAGTTAGCCCCTCCCCCCCACACCGTGTGTGTGTGTGTGTGTCGGGGGAACAGCTAGTGTAAAGGCACCGAGATAAGAGCAACTCTGCCTTCTGGGTGTGCAGCTAGCAGGTCAACATGCTAGGCTACAGAGTCTGTAGCCAGAAGTTGTCCCAGTGACAAACCAAGGTGGGAACCAATGAATTTATTCGGCCAACTTGCAGAACCATGGGCAAGGGGTCACCAGAAGGAGCGTGGGTATTCTTAAAATAGCCACATTGGACAGCCTGTGTTCAGCATGGGTGGTGACTCCTAATTGTGTGGACAGAGGTTCCTCTTCTTTTTGGTTCCCACCTAAATGTTCTCCAGTCCTTCCCAAAGACCCCAAGGCTACATTCTGTTAGGGTAGACTTATATGCAGTAGGGCAGGGTAGGCTATATACTTAGGTGACCCTTAATGATCCCCCAAATACCTGTTCTTTCTATGAGGAAACAAGCTCAGCTATACTGATATTTTTCTAGCAGACCCAGCCAAATTCCTGAAGGCAGTAAGGTTTGGGAGATAGTTTTGTACAACACATTTTAATTTTAATTTATTATTATTATTATTATTGGTTTTTTGAGACAGAGTTTCTCTTTATAGTCCTGGCTGTCCTGGAACAAGTCTACAGACCAATCTAGCCTCAAATTCACAGAGATCCACCTGCCTCTGCCTCCTGAGTGTTGAGATTAAAGGCATGCACCACTATGGCCTGACTATACTTCTTTTTTAATTAATAAATTTTATTAACTATTGTGTGTATATGTGTGCACACACAAGCTATAGCACACTCATGGAGGTCAGTTTTCTCCTTCTACAATGGAAGTTCCAGGGATTGGAGTTAAGTCATCAGACTTAGTGGCATGCACCCTTAGCCACTAGGCCATCTTGCCAGCCCTAGCCTTCTTTTAAAAGACATCAACAAAAGGCCCTCTTATCTCCTTTGTGGACACCAGGAACTGCTGGTGTATCAGGGGACTGAGAAGGTGTATATGCACAAGCCTGTAATACGGAAGATGGAGACAGGAGGACCAGAAGTTCATTCAAGGTCATCCTCCCCTAGAGAGTATGTTGGATGCCAGGCTGGACTACATGAGATGCTATCTTGAAAAAACCAAACTAAGGACTGGAAAGATGGCCCAGAAAGTAAAAGTGCTCACTGTCCTTCCAGAGTATTTGAGTTCTGTTCCTGACACTCATACAGGGTGGCTTACAATTACCTTTCACCTCCAGCTCCAGGGGCGCCAATGCCCTCTGTTGACCTCCGAGGGCATATGCACTCAAGTTGTACAAACCCACACCTATACATATAAAAAAAATGAAAACCAAACCCACCAATAAACAAAAACCCCCAAACAACAACAAAATTATAACAGAATCCATACAGATTACGTACACAGACCAATATTTTTAAATAGGGCAGATGTAATAAATAGAAATGAATACCAAAATAGAGGGCATATATATCACATGAAGCATTTTTCTAGGGAGTATCCTTTTTAGGACTTTACGAATGTCAGGTTACATAGTACTCCATAGTTAATCCTGTCCCCCCTTTGCAGAGGAGCACGGCAAAGTTATTTGTCCTTGGTCCCACAGCTAGTAAATGGCAGAGCCAAGAATCAGCTTCCACCTCTGACTTTCAAGACACACACACACCAGACAGCGAGTGAGCTTCCCCGCCTCTGACGCAGGACGCTGAACACTCCTGTCTGCTGCTAACGCCAGCATCGGCCCAGTGGGTGCTCCTGCCGTGGTTCTTGCTCTGGCAGGGCTGGTGGCACACCCTCCTTTCTTTCCCCCTAACGCTTCTCGGCCAGCCTTCAGCAGATCTTGTTTTCTCTTTTGTCTCAACCCTGCTCAGGCCTTTACCAGTCCTGGAGCACTTTGTCCCTTCTACTAACGTCCTGAGGTCAGCTCTGCCTCCTCCCATTGCCACACACAAGTTTTTTTTATGGCGTCTAGCTCTCTCTACCAGCCCTGCCTCGCTGCCGTTTGTTACAAGTTGCTTTGAACGCTGCGGAGTGTCATGTTCTCCACGTTTCTGTTGAAGCAGGCCACGTGCCTCTTTAGCTGAGAGCTGAAGGCTGGGGTGAGCATGACAGACAGTAGTAACCTGATCTTTCCAGAAACTTTGTGCTAGAGGGCAGGTGCCCTTGCCCTTTGACACTGATTCCTTCCTCCCAGCACTAAGTGGACACCAAGGGACAGGTGGTGATTATTCTTTCATTTATCTAGTTGAGCACCTACTTTGGACAAGTTAGGCCGTGTGATAAATGCGGAGGATATGGCGGGAGATAAGAGGCCCACTCAGTCACCACCACCGTTAGGACTTACCATGCAGTTCTGTCTGAGGGTCTCCAGCCTCCTCTGGGCCTCAGATTCAGTAAAGAAGATAAGAGACTGGGAACCGAAGCAGAGGGCAGGGAGTGCCCTAAGTCTCTGGAAACCAGACTCCACAGGCAGTGCGACGACCCCGTTCTGGGTGAGGTCGCCCGCCCGTGTTACATGGGTCACAAGCATGGCATGGGAAACCGGTGGAGCTTGCGCAGCCAGAATTGGCTTGGTTGGGCTTGGACTGGGCACATTTAGGAGTCAAAACTCTAGGGAGTCAGGGCTGAGATGCTGGTGTGTGGATTCCGATTCCAGGACTGTTGTTTATGTGTGTTATCTTGAGCAAATCTCTTAACCTTCCCGTACCTCATTTTCTATATCAGTGAAATGGGTTTCCAACAACCCTAGGGTTAAGTGCCTGGAAACCTTCCCCCGCGCAGTACCCATATAGAAAAATACTCGGGAAAGGAGGCAGTGAACCACGCTGCTCACACCTCGTGGGGTTCTTCGGCCTCCCCGGGGTCCCGGCGACAGCCAATCTTTTTCAAAGGACCCGGTCCTAGCCCATTAAGGGCGAGTCCCGCTTTCATATATTTATTTGCTTGCTTGGGCGGAGCTTGGAGCACAACAAGGAGGAGGCGGAGGCGGAGAGCGCAGAGAAAGGGAAGCCACCCCGGGGCAGCAGGCTAGCCAGGCGGGGCTGGGGAGGAGTCAAGCCGGGTTCCAGCCGCCCGGCGCTGCGCGCAACGAGAGCCTCGGGCGGCGGAGACAGGGGCGGGGGCGACGCTTGTCAGCCAATGGTGCTCGGCGCTACCGCAAGGGCGGTGCAGGAACCCCAGCCGCTGACAGTCAAAGTAACCAACTCCGCCCTAGTACCCGCGGGATCCCGGAGCCCGAGCCCTAGCGGGGCTGAGGCCGCCCAAAGCGCGCTGCGAGCAAGCGAATATGGCAGCAGAATGAGGAGCCTTGCGCCGGGTGGTGGTCGCCGCTGCGGTGCTGCAGCTCGCAATCCGCGTTTGGCACGCCACGAACAGCATTCTTAGTCGGCCTCCGGGTTATTTCATTCCGCACCAAGGACCGCGGAAAAGGGAGATCCGTAGCCCAGAGAGGGAGCTAGGAAGCGGGAGCGCGACCTGGGAGAGATTCTGCGGGGATGAGCCGGCCATGGGGCGGCCTCGGCGGGGCGCACGGAGACGGCCGGCGCATCGGCGGGACCGCTGCTTGAGCCCGGGCTCCACGGGACTTCGGGGCCTCGTGCGTCCCAGCGGAGTCCCTGACGCTGTCTCCGGGAAGGACACGATACCTGCGTGGCGGACACTGCAGCGCTCACAGCACTGAGGCTCTCGGAGCCTACAGGGTCTGCGGTTCGGTGTGCTGTCACACCGCCGCACGCGGGCGCCTTGCCCGGGGCTCGGCTACTGGCGCAGCGCAGGGAGGTCGGCTGCAGGAGCCGGGGACTGCGGGACTAGCCGGAGAGGCGTGCGCGCGGGTGTTCGACTGGAGATCCCGGCAGAAGCAGAGCCGGACGGACCTGAGCAGCCATGCTTCCCGGGGTGGGCGTGTTCGGCACCAGCCTCACGGCCCGTGTCATCATCCCGCTGCTGAAAGATGAGGGCTTCGCCGTGAAGGCACTGTGGGGCCGCACTCAGGAAGAAGCCGAGGAGCTGGCCAAGGAGATGAGTGTTCCTTTCTACACTAGCCGCATCGATGAGGTGCTGCTGCATCAGGATGTAGATTTGGTGTGCATCAACCTGCCGCCGCCGCTCACCAGGCAAATCGCTGTCAAAACCCTGGGTGAGCGACCCCTCCTCCAGCCCTCTCTTCATTAGCCCGGGTCTTCGCTTCGCACCCTCTCCAATGGCAGAAGCGTACACCCCAGGGATTCCAAACCCATGCATGTTACTCCCAGCTTTATCATTCCCAGTCCGTGGCCTTCCCCACCTCCACGCTTCGCTCCTGGCACCACCTGGAAGCTTATCCCCACGTGTGTGGTGCGGAGGCTGGAATAGGCTTGGGTTCCAGGTATAGGAACCAGGTGGATCAGATGCAGAGATCTGAAGATGGGTTGCTGTTCCGGGAGAGGAAACTCGGTCCCCAGCTGTGTGTTAGTGCTCCGGTGTCTTGGTGCGTGCGCGCCTGGGAGAGGCAAGCGCGCGGCCAGGAACCCTTGAATAAAGGACCGCACACGTGGCAGGGGTTTTCCCCAAGGTACCTGTTGTCAGCAGCTGTGGCACCCTATTTGGGTCATTTGTTTCCACTGTAAGTGAGTTTAGTGTGAGATGAGAGACGTGACAGCTGGTCGGAATGACCTTTTTCTGCTCTGGAAGCAAGCAAGGAAGGACGGTGGAAGTGAGAGTGGGCGGGTCTATTAGAACATTCTCAGATGTGTCAGAGGTTAGTAAAGATTGTAATTTAACCTTTGGGCAGAGCCTCCCAGAGCTGTCTTCTGCTCCAATTGGGAATAATATACCTTATATTCTTGGGAGATGGGCGTTGCTGTTTCAGAGGCAGGGATGCTTTGTGTGGTAACAGGCCAGACGCTGCAATTTCCTTTGGAAACGTGCGATGGCACCTCCGTGTTTTGCCTCCGGAATATTCCCAGACGCTGTGTTTACAAGTAGGTTGGGACTCTGCTGTGCTCAGAGGAATGTCTTGAGCAAGCCTGTCCATCAGCAGCTCTCTTCCATACCTAAAACAACCCCACTTGGCGAGTCCCAGGCGTTAATTGCGCACCCTTGGATGTTAAAGTCTTAATTGGTGAAGAAAGAGTAAAAGCTCCTGAACGTGTGTGTGTGTGTGTGTGTGTGTGTGTGTGTGTGTTGCATTATGGTAGAACACCTGTCTGGCATGCACAAGGCATTCGGTTTCAACTCTCAGCAAGGAGAAAAGAATTTTCTAAGTTTTTGTTATTGACAAAACCGAGGTGAGTTACATTTTCTTAATGAAGCAGAGGTGCTATTATCCTATTATCGGAGTTTATTGTGTGATAGGGGCATAGCCAAGGCTTCGTGCTTTCGTGATGGGCTGCAGGCTTTCTTCTCTTCCTTTGTGAGCGCGTTTCCCTGTGGCTCGAGGTAGTCTATGATGATGGAAAATGTAGTGGCACTGGATTTAGAAGTGGCCGCACAAGCGCTCGCCGACTTCCCTGGAAACCCCATGAGGTGCCTCCTGCTTGTGCCTTGGAGGCCGTTCTTGACTGGCTCCACAGTCGTGGTTAGGAGGTTGTACACACACAACACAGGAAGTGGAAAACCCCAAACAGTTGTCAGTCTGGCCTTGGCCTTTGGGGGGTTTACACATACTAACGTTTACCTGGAATTTGAATGAGCCACCCTTCAACAAGTCCGGGTGAATTGTGCTTCTTTTTCCACAGCCAGCAAAAGTGATAGACCTGTGTGGCTCAGTCCATGCCATGGCCCGATTAGGAGAGGGCACCAGACAAGTGAAGTTAGTGGAATCACACATATTCTCCTTTGAGTTCCAGAAACTTCCTCCAAAGCCCTACCTCTGCCAGACTTTGGGTCACACCCTTCCCCAGCAAGCCAGGTTCTACCACCTGTCCTCCATAAGTCAATCAAAACACCCAAATTAGGCTATCCATTGTTTTGGCTCCACCCCCTCCTGCCAGGTGGACTAACAAGCTGCGAACCTCACCTCATTCCTTGAGAAAAGTTTCCCCTCTGGCTGACTCAGGTTTTAGGCTTTCTCTTCTCAGATCATGAGATTCCGAGGGGAATTCCAGCTTCTTGGGGGTTTATTGTTTTAATCGTCTGATAGCTGAAGTGAGGCCTGTCTCTGTAGAACAGCTTCATTCTGTTCAGGCCAGTTACACTGCCTCAGTGGTGTAGCTGCTGTAGAGATCTTTCTGTCACACACAATTTGTACACCATTCAGGGCTGTCTTTAAACGAGAACTTCTTGTGGGCCGGCCTGGGTGGTAGTTTGCTGTGTAGAAAACATTCCCTGTGATGAAAACGGGTCTCTAAGGTGGACATCTGACTGATTTTACAAATGAGGCTACCCTGATTCAGAAAGCTGAGTCCGAGCTACCTATGGCCATATACCTTGAGAGCTGCACCCACCAGCCAGCCTCTCCAGTTCTTTCTGAAGCCTGCTCCATTACCACAGTTCCTTCTGTCGCAGATCGCTGGGGAGGTCCAGTGTTGCTTTCTACTGCGCCGCTGGAATCAGTTCCCCACATTGTGTCCCTGCTATCTCCTGAATCCTTCTGTCGTTGTTACCCTTTTTTGCTGAGTTGCATCCCACTATAGACGTCAAGGTCCTCGACTAGTTTCTGAATTTTTCAGACAGTCCTGGCTCACCCCTGCTGGGTCATCCTTCACAGTGCTTCAGGTTATAGTACAGCACCATAGATAGTGCTCCATTGTCTTTGTTTTTAGGAAAAGCCTTAGCACGACACTCAAGAACTGGCCTCTGATGAGACTGGCCAACAAGTCCCTGATAAGACTTGAGGCTTATGTCCTGTAAGGCATTCAGAATCCTGTGAGCTTCGGTCATCAAGATGGCTCATTGGGTAGTGATGGCTTGCCATGCAAGTCTGAAGACATCAGTTTGATCCTTAGAACCCACAAGCAGATAGAATGAGAGAACTGATTTCATGAAATGCCCTGACTCTATCATGTATGCACTGTAGCATAAGTGTACACACACACACACACACACACACACACACACACACACACACACGTTTAGGGATATTTGATCATACTGTGACACGCCGAGCCTGTGTTTAAAAAAGTTAAATTAGAATCAGCAGGGCAGGGTCAGTGACAAGAATTGACCATAGAGATTTTGGAGGACCCAGGATATGATAGAGAGGCACAGGAAGGAGTAGGGTGGAGCTTGAAAAAGATTCCCGGTCCTATTTGATCTGGGAAGTATGGAGAGAAGACCAGCTGGTTGCTCCTCTGCTACTGCTTTGCTTTATCAGGTTTTCTCCCTAATATCTTAGAACTCATCACGCACATACAGTAGAACTTCGTGAGTCACAGTTAAGCTACCAGTGGGGAGTTCTTGGAGAGACTCTTGGTCCATTCATCTGCTCAAGCTTCCGTCAGGATCTCTATTGTCCCTGTAGTTGGACTAAGAATTGTGCAGCGTTCAAAACCGATCATCTGTTGGCACCTCCTGAGTGTTGTGCGTCTGCTTCTCGATCCCACCCCTTCCCCTGCGCTCCCTTCTAAGCTCTCAGTACCAGGAACCCTTGTACTTTCTAGAACCCATTTGAATGTGTTTGTTTAAAACCCAAATTGTGTTCAGTTAGTTTGAATAGGTTATATATTTACATGGTATAAATTTCAAACACTATAAATGACACACTACATTAGAGTAAGTGCTCCCCATTCTGAGGCAATCAACCTTACTACTTCTTCCAATGTCTTCTATTCAAGATTTTCTGGCCACAGTAGTAAATATATATGTAAGATTTTCATATTGGATGTGTGGTGGTGGCATATGCCTTTAATCCCAGCACTTGGGAGGCAGAGACAGATGAGTTCGAGACCTGGTCTACAGAGTGAGTTCCAGGACCAGCTCCAAACCTGCAGAGAAACCCCATCTTGAAAGCAAAACAAAACAAAACAAAAAACCAAAAACAACAACAACAACAACAAAAAGTGTTAAGAGTTTTCATGTCCCCTTTGGGTGATTGGTAAAGTCTCATTCGCGCTACTGGAAACCTGCTTTTTATCGTGACGTTGTTGGCTCGTATATGAATTCAATCAACCAGCAATCAAAAATACTCAAAAACCAAAAAAATTGTGCCTGCACGGAACAACTGCAAATGTTTGTCTCATCATCTCCCCCTGAAGAACCTAGCAAGACCACTACATACTTTCTACCCTAATAGCTATTCTAGGCAATCTAGAGAGGGCGAAAGCAGGGAGCATACACGCAGGTCACACACAAATGCCAAGCTGTCCTAAGTGAGGGACTTGAGCATCCATGAGCCTTTGTGTACCCTTGGGGATTCTGGAACCAATACTTGGAAATAGGGGTAATTGAATACATATGTCTGTGTATGTAATATATTTATGTATACACAAATATATGCATACACATACATATATTTAGAATGTGAATCCATCCCTGTTATATTTTGGGCTATATGGGGTTTCATGGTATGGGTGAAATGAGAGCGTATTTGACCCGTTCCCTGTTATTCAACATTTAGGTTGTTTCCTGTCTTACACAAGCGTGGAATGAGTCATCGTGAGATGCTGACATTTTGTATACACTAATGTATTTGTAGCATAAATAAACAAGCTGAGAGCCGGTCAGCGGGGCATAGTCTCATTTCATGTGACATAGATACTGCCAGATGAGCCAGCATCTGACATACTGCATTTTGTCAGTCTCCTGAGCTGCTCCCAGCAAGGCCCTGGACTTACAGGTCCCTGGAGGTCTAGTATAGTTTGGTTCACATTGTTCAGTCCAGACAGACTAGTAGCTCGGGCCAGTATCACAAGCCAGTACCACCTTCTAGCTAGCCCTGGGTCAGTCCGAGCCTGTCAAAACATTGTCCCCCTGCAACGGTTCTCTTCCCTTAGGTAATGTGGCAAGCTGTCTGGCTGCCTGTGTAGGCCCAGGGGATTCTCTGTAGCATGGGAGAGGTGAATGTGTAGGAGTCTGGACATAATCACAGCCGCAAATGGCATGTCCATGGTTCTCTTGGACTCATACTTAGGAGGTATTTGGATTCAAGTTGCCCTGCCTCCTCTCTGCCTCTTACTTCTTAAGAAATTGGGGCTCAGTCTTGGATGCCCCACCCGCCCG